CCCCCCCATTATTCTGGCCTTTTAGGGATTCACGGACCTTGAACAAGCATGTACCCATGTGAAGCAAATATTGGAGTGCCGGTGACATCTTCATCCTCTACTGATTGATTTACAGCGCCATCTGTGGTCACTGCAGCACCCACCCGCGAATTATGGGTTCATGTCGGTCAGGCATGCTATGGGACTTGCAGGTTTTTAAATGAGAACCAGCCAACTACCCAGTCAGGCAAAAAGTTACAGTACCTCATGACAGCCCATCCAACTATAGCATGGTATACTCATCTATCCTTGCTCCTTTGCCTTCTGCTGCATCAAAACCCTCACTCCATTGCTCTAATGGAGCAGGGCTTTGGGTATGGGGAAACATTGGACCTTCCCCATGCGACAGAGGTCAAACACCAGATCTGACCATGGTCACATGGGGGCAATGATGTCATCCAGGCGGTTAAGCTGAGACACCATTAGACACCAGATCTCACTTATGGTGGACTCCTGCTTTGAAGAGCTGGTTAGAGAGCGGGGATAAGTGAGTAAACTTTGTTGGGGAGGGTGGGCTATCTCTCTAAATGGGTAGATGACAGTGTCTCTTTAAACAGGTCAACCATAGTGGTTTCCATCCTTCAACCCTCACAGGTTCTGCCTTACGTAAAACAAGGGAGTCCATTTCCACCTACCAATTTGGATACATAGCTGGGGCATAGTAGTCACCCCAAGGTTTGGGTAATGAAGAGCACAGTCAGTACCCAGCAGTGTGGGTTGAAAACCAACTATACAGAACATTGCAGGAACATATGTAAGAAAAAAAAGTGCCAGGTACTTTCATTATCCAAAACACCAACCAACAGTTGACGGTGTTGCTGCTACAGGACGTGAGGGGAATCCCCCTAACAAACACACACAGCAACAAAACAAGAGCTTCTGAGGCCCCTTTCACACCGGGGCGGTGTGGCCGCGCGGATCCGCCAACATGAACGATTCCATACATTGCTATGGGGACCGTTCATGGGACCGCCTATGTCCACACGATCCGACGCGCCCCCCCCTCCCCCCCGAACTACTCCGTGCACTATTTTTGTCACGCTGATCAGTGCGGTTTACATACAGCTTTCAATGGAACCGCACTGATCAGCGTGGTTGTGGGCGTTTTCAATTGCGTTTCCGCTGCTGAAATGCAATTAAAAACTCAGAAAACCTCCTTTTTGAAATCAGCCGCATAACCGCGCTGATACACAACCGCCCTGGTATGAATGGGCTCTAGATGTCAAAAATAACATTTGTGATGTTTGTGTCTCTTGGAGATTTCCCCTTACTTCCTGTCCTAGGGACCGGAAGAGGAGGTGAGTGGAGACAGACGGCAATGAAGATCTGTCGGAACTTCGAATCATCACTTTATTTCTTTTGGGTCAATTGGAGTATGTGAAGATGAAAAAGTTACGTTTATAATCCTTCATATATTGCGCCTTTTCATCCCAATGGGGATGCTGGGCCTCAGTTAACTAACATAAGAATCTTTTTTTGGGCCCAATTAATAAACTTGAAGTTTACTCTGCTTATATTCTGCAAATTAAATTATTAAATAAAACTTGTTTTCATTACAGGCCTTATTTTAGACCCAGTAACATCACCAGTGGGTCTTTGTACTTCTCTGTGCAATGCAGGTAGATCATGGCTGGTGGGAGGGGCTGGAAGGGGGCTCTAAATGACTATCTGAAAACAGGAAGCTGGGCTAACACCAACAGGTGACGCTGAGCCTCTATGTTTGGAAAGACTGAAATCCAATCAATGAAAGGGGCGAGACAGTCAGGCTAGGGAGGATAGGGCTAGATCCTATCCTCCCTAGACATCCTCCAGCCAGGTAATGACTCATTGCAGCTTTGCATGCACATTGTGGGAAGCTCACAGTGTGCAGTGAAATCAGAGTCAGTTCCAGTCCAATCTGCAGCTTCTAATGCACATTAAGGGGAATTGATCAAAACTGGAGCAACCAGAATCTCGAGAAGTTGCCCATGGCAACCAATCAGCTTCTCTCTTCAGTTTGCTCAGGTAAGATTTTAAAATAAGAGAGAGAAGCTGATTGGCTGCAGTGCAAATCTGCTCCAGATTTTGTCTGCTCCAATTTTGATAAATCCCCTCATTGTGAGAAGCTTGCAGTGTGCAGTGAAATCAGAGTCAGTTCCAGTCCACGAGAGGAGACGGTACAACTTTGCAAAAATAAGCGTAAGGCCGGAGCTCAGGGTAAAATGTTGGCTCATTCACAATCAATAATTCTAATATTCACAACTTGGGAGTATGGTAAATGCCAACAAAGAAAGCAGGTCTGCGGTGAATGTACAACACATCTTCTGAATCAGGCAAATCGTAATTCCAGTGAATAGATATTCAGGAAAAACAGTAAAATCACACAGATCTCAGTGAAAATCCAGTTACATGGTGGAGGTAACAAAACTTTATAAAACATATGTATAAATCCAGTATAATCCAGTAGATAAAAGTTAAACTTCAGGCAGACAAAAAACAATCAATTAAACTTTGTGTTCTTTAAAGTAGAACTATGGGGTCAGTGTTTTTCCCCATAGTTCTCCTTAGGGTAACGGGAGGACACAAACTAGTGTCCTCCCGTCACGATTAGCTCAGTATACCGCGAGCTGCAGCCGCCGCCGCAGCTGAAGCGGATCCCGACAATTATGTCTGGATCCGCCCAGCTGCGTGAGTGACAGCTGGCTCTGCCTATCTAGAGGCAGAGCCAGCTGTACCCGCCCCCTCCCCCGTCCGTTCCGCCAGTCAGCGCTGGCGGATCGGAGCGGGGAGGGGGGAATCCAGCCCCTCCCCTGTCACGGCAGAGAGCCGTGACAGGATCGAGAGGTGAGCGAACCCGGTATGTGTTTGCTCACCTCCCGATCTACTGAGCCGACCTGTGACAGTCTCATTGTCACAGGTCGGCTAGAACTATGAGGTGAGTGAAAAGCACTCACCTCATAGTTCTCCTTTAATACATCACGGATGTTTTCTTTTCAATGCAAGCATTGTTAAGTACCTGAATTTGGCATGGTATCAGCCTTTTGCAGTACCTGGTACAGCAGAGCTCAGAGTGGGGAAGAAAGCAGGAGCACAGGAAGCCATTCAGTTGTGCTGATCTGGTCATGTTCTAATAAGGAACATGCAGAGCAGACAACAGAGTGACAGAGATGAACTCATCGGCTGCTTCTCTTTTCCCTGACCAGTCACAGGCAAGGGAAGGAGACAAGACCTGTAAGTGTTACTTAAAGGAGATCTATGAGGTGAGTTATTTTAACTCATCATCCTAGTTAGAGCCGACTTGTGTCAAAGAAGCTGTCACAGGTCGGCTCTATCGATCGGGAAGTGAGCAGAAACATGCACCGATCCACTCACTTGTCGATCGTCTCGCTGCAGAGAGCCGTGTCAGCCACCGCTCCGAGCAGGGATTCCCCCCGCTCCCCTCTCCGATCCTCCAGCGCTGAGTGGAGGAAAGGACGGGGGAGGGTACAGCTGGCTCTGCCTCTAGATAGTCAGAGCCCGCTGTCACTCACACAGCTGGGCGGATCTCGACAGTAATGTCGGGATCCGTCACGGCTGCGGCGCTCACGGTATTGCCCGCAATATATTGAGCTTCGGGTCACGGGAGGAGGTTGGTATATGTCCTCCCGTGGCCCTAAAGAAAACTATGGGGAAAACACTTACCCCATAGTTCTCTTTTAACTGCAGAAAAATACATTTCAGGTCTTCTGCTCAAGGAACTCTTTTTCTGTGCATCTAGCTGTCTGTCTGGAGTTCAGTTTCAAACAAGCATTGAAAATGAACCCCTTTTCTTGTCCATGAACTACCAATCAGATTCAAGCTTGCGGTGAAATATGACAATTAATCAGACTGAATCCGATTGGTGGATCAGAGCCAATAAGGACAAGAATATTCAGTAGCGGCATAATCATGGTCCTATACAGCCCGTGGTGAGCCTACCTTCAGCTGGTTGTTAAAGGAGTCCATCTCTTTGATTTTAGAGGAAGTCTCTTTCTCCAGAGCATCCAGCTGCTCCCGCAGCCTCTGGCATATGCCATCCTTCTCTGCCGTCTTCTTATGAAGGCCAAACAAACCGGCATTAGAGTTATCTGTCACAAATTGAACATGGCAATCAGCGGAAACACAAGTCAGATGCAGCCCCCCCCCCCATGGCAGATGCATGCTGCGCTTAATAGTTCTTTTATAGCTAAAAAGGATATGGATTTTCACGTCTGATCTATAACAAGTGCAAGAAATGTATGCAATATAAGAAAATAGACTACTCTATCCTGAACGGAAATAGTTTTAGCTAGGGATGTACCAATACCGATATACCGAGTATTTGGGGCAAATACTCGTCAAAATGCTCCGATACTTACCCCGATACCGGAACTTGCCACAACCAACATCTAATATTCAAAAGGAAGATGCAAAAAATGACTCACCAGTCACAGTGACCATCTGAAACTGTTTAATCTGCTCATTCAGGGCTTGCTTTTCTGGGGCAAGACTGCTCAACCTATTCTGATAGTCCTGGAATAAAAAGATGATGGTGTGAGAAAAGAAAATACGGATGAGGTCAACAATTCTGAAGCTCTAGAACAGGGGTGCCCATTAGGTAGATCGTGATCTACTAGTAGCTCTCAAAGCTGATGCTGGTAGATCATGAAGATCCATCGGGCAGACAATGGAGTTTTGTATAATAAGCAACATTCTCATGTTCTATAGTGCATGACTTTGCTTTATAATACTAATGATAAAGAAACATTTGGAACAGAACAATAATAGACACAAAATAATGCACAGAGAAATTACCTGGAGCTGCTGCTGGAGTTGCTTGATCTCTATAATTCCCAGATCACATTTGTTATCTATATTTTCCAACTCATTTTTCTTAATTTGCTTTCTACCTCGGACATCCTGGACCCTGAGTGTGATCTGCTGATGTTTTTCCTCCTAAATTAAGGGGGAAAAAGGATTGAACAAAACAATATGTTGTATAAAAAAGGGAACACAGTAGTGGTTTTGGCAGGATAGTTCTTGCCACTGAGCAATGTAAAAGTCTTGCCTTAGGTCAATGTCAACCCAGCAATCCTGTTGTTGGTGGCCGCTCACTAGCAAAATGATTGTTAAAGCAGAACTTTACATAGAATATGAAAATGTGCGACCAGGCAGGCTTTTTATTGCAGAAGAGGCATATGAGGGGGTTTATTTATAAACGTTCGGCCCCGCCTGGTCGTTCACACAGCATTAGTGCCCTAGATGGCACTGAGAAGTACAGTAAATTCCTATACTTGTCAGCACCATCTAGGTGCGCCAGTGCCATGCAAATGGCATCCGCCAGGCTATATGACGGGCATTATTTTTATAAATTAACTGCTCTCTCTGTTTGCAATATTCTGTAGAATGTACACTGAGCTGTGCATGGGGAGCTCAGTGTTCAATCCCAGCATCTGTCAGGTGCTGGAATTGTTGAACTCCCCTGCACATGTGCTGGCATCGTGTCATCCTGGCGCGGCCAATCAAGATGGCAACATATCACAAACTCAAAAGAAGACCAGGCAAGATGTTGGCACCAGAAAAGGAGCAAGGGGAAGTATAGTCCTGCTTTAAATACAACCTTCATCTGCTTCTACTTCTACTGCTCCCTTGCAAGCCAGAAATCTCAGAACCTGTCTTGCTAACAAGCAGGGGTCAAAGGATGCTTTGCTGGTCTGGCCACTGAAGAAGGGATACTAGAGAAGCCGGGGTATTGTTTCTTTGCTCTCCTAGTGATCTTGCCTCTGACATGTTGCTACCAATGGCAGGATTGCAAGTGGCGTCATTGTCTTTAGGTGATATCTTAGGTTCTAATATCTCTTGCTGCAAACACTGCGAGAACCCATATAAAATATATACAACCTGTATCCCAGGCGCCTTTCCCCTGTGTCTGCAGTCTCTGAAGAAGTCGCAAGTCTAAAAGGGCCAAGGTTAACCCCTTAGTGTGACAATGGCAGTACTAAGAACATGGGAGCAGAGAGCTCCCAGGTGTTGGTAAGTACTCCCACCATAGTCTTTTTTTTGCATTCTTCTAATAGCATTTATACAGAATGAAGAACATTGTACTCAAGCAATTTGTTGTTTTTTTTGTATAGATTACAGGAACACAAAATGCATTCCAAATTCCTCACCAGGGCTTCCAGCTCCAACTGCAAGCTCTTCTTCTTAGACTTCAGCCTGATGATTTCCTCTTGCTCTCTGTTCCTCTGATTGAACAGCTCTTGGCGGCGAATCCTCTCCAGTTCTTGCTGCCTCTGCCTTTCCAGCTCTTGCTTTGCTGCCTGCAGGTAGATATGTAAACTCTTTCAACTAAAATTATTATACGACAGCTTTCTATACTCTGCACCCATCAGGTTTAGACATAACCAATCAGTTCTGGTGATCCATCAGTATAATGATACAGACTTTGCAGCAGTCTAAACCAGGAGTTCTAAACTGTGATTATCCATACCCCTTGAGTCATGGGAACCAAATGATGGGAGTATAGAACTATTTTTAATTTTTATACAAATAAGAATAATCATAAAATACATTTCTAAACTGCTCTGCCCCTATCTATCTATATGTTAAGCAACATCAAGCTACTGACATCTTTTGACGTCATACTGGTACCGAACAGGACCGATGATGATGACAGTCCAGTGGCGTGGGTATGGAGACATACTGTGCAATCTATTGGGAGCCTGTACTAATAAAAGGTTTAGAACTCCTGGTCTAAAACTGAACTGCCCACAGAACCAGTTGGAGCCTCCTTTTTATGTGTTTAAAAACATAGCATGAATCTGATATCATAAAGGTTCAGGAGTCTCATTATCACATAGAGGACTGACCTCTCTCCTCTCAATCTCCTTCCTCTTCTCCTCCTCCCTTTGCCTCTCAAGTTCACGCTGTTTCTCCAGACGCCTCTCCATCTCCAGCTGCTTCTTGCGTTCCTGCTCTTGCTGCTCTCTCTCTCTGCGCTCCTGTTCTTCTCTTTCCTTCCGAGCCTTTCGTTCAGCCTCCCTCTGCTGCTGCTCAAGCAGGAACTGGCGCCTCTTCTCCAGTTCTTGGTTACCTCTCTCCATGTTCTCCTTTCTCCTTTCTTCAAAGGTTGCTTTAAAATCCAGCCACAGATGTTTTATTGTAAAGAACGTGGCTTATCAGGTGTGCAAGTACAAAAACAGAAAGCAAAGCTGGATTCTCTGCGTAAATAGCCAAAACAAAAGCACACCCATACCATGCAAGGCCTAGTTCATCAGCAGAGAGTCTGCAAGAAGCTTTGTTTATACACAAAGAGCGAACCACAGGGCATGACCTACATGAAGAAGCATAGCAAATAGGCCAGATAGTTGGGTACTATTAGATATTTCAGTAGAGCCACCCAAGGCACCACCAGAATTCAGGTCCATGCTCTCAGAAAGAAGGTCAGACACATATGGTGTACAGATACAGCACAGTTCTTGGCCCTCCAAAAGCCTGGTCCTCACAAGAAGTGACAACAATCAGCACATTTATTCATTAGAGGCATTTATATAGTGCCGTAAATTTATACCGGGCTTTACACACTGTACATTCACAACAGTTTCTGCCCTCAAGGAGTTCACAACCTAAGGGCCCTATCTCACATGCATACAGGGCCAATTTAGACAGAAGCCAATTAACCTTCCAGCATGTCTTTGGAGTGTGGGAGGAAACTGGAGCATCTGGAAGAAACCCACACAAGCTCAATGCAAACAGTTACATTTCATATACTGGCACCATGCAAGGTCTTCTGCACAAGACGAGACACGCCTGGCTAAGCCAGATACTACAGTCCATGTACATAGACATCACCAGTCATTATACCTATAAAGTGATTAGGCCAGAACACATGAACAGCATTAGAAAGAGGTTAATAATCAGATTATCTAGACTGCAGATATCACCTGTTGTCTTCTTCTGAGGGGGATCCTCTTCCTGCATCAGATGGTAGGTGGGCAGTGTTCCATTGATGAAATCTGAACCACTAAAAAAAAAAAAAAAATCAAATAAATGAGACTTTGAAAACACCAATATCTGCACAAAGTAAGCTTTGATTGCATTACCAAAACCAACTCTAGTATGTATTCCTATTACAATGCTGATGGTATAACAGAATAGTATGAGCTAGGACTTCACAACTCTTTTAAAGAGCAGTCCTTTAGCTGAAGTCCAGTGACTTTGCCTAGGGCAAAGATGATGTCATCAGTCTGCAACATTAAAGTTCTGCAGCCAGTCACAAAAAGGTTGAGAGACTTCAGAAGGAAACTGATCTCTTGCAGACATTTAAGGCAGGCACTGACACACACTGCACGCGAAGCGGATCGGTGAAACGCTGCCTTCGTGTGCAGTGTGTCAAGTATTTTTCTCTACGATACGTCAGCTTGCGAAAGCTCGCATAGCTGAGCGTGCAGAGGTGAAAAATGTCATCTTCAGCCAATCAACTTGCGTGTATAAATCCGTGCGTCACGATGCGAGCAAGCATAGCTCCATGCCTGACAGCTTTGCTTCGCTCTACACGGCTTCGTGTGCAGTGTGTCACGGCTTTAGAACTACACATGCACCCGCATTTATACAATGCTAACACCTCTGAGCCAGCATCTCAGTCCAGGAAGTAGATGCTGACCCTGGATGATGTCTGAACAAAGATGGCTCCATCCGTCTATTAAGAAAAAGAGATAAAGGCTTTGACAAGGGGGCGTACTGTGATCTGTGTGAGAAATAATAAATAGCTGGAAGTGATACGCTTACACATTACTTGCCACGCATGCGTGTAACATGAAAAAATTGTTTGGTTCTAGGTCCACTTTAATAGATCACTTCAGGTTTAAGTAAAAAAATATCCTCTTCCGCCTATCTCAATAATAGTTAAAGAAAAAACAGACCCTAGTGGCTCTTCACTGCCTGGTGCAGCCATTTCTTTATTGGCAACCCAACAAGATCCAGCGTTCTTTTCAAGACTGCCCATCTGTCTGCAGCTCCCATACAGTATGATGGCCTGCCTATCGCATGCAGGCGACTATCTTCTACAGCAGGGATAGGCAAACTCCAGCCCTCCAGCTGCTGTGGAACTACAAATCCCTTTAGACATTGCAATACTCCGACGGCCACAGGCATGACTCTTAAAGGCAGATGCATGATGTCTTTTTCTGGTCAACAATACAGGGACTCACATTACAACAGCATGTAAATATGCCTAAAAGGGCCAACACAACGTTCAGCTATACTGAAGATGACATTATATATCATTTGATGTCAAAACTCCACACTGGAGCTGTGTGCTGGCAATATTACATCTCACACACACACACAACCATACTGAATGAAAAGATTATTGCAGCAATTAAAAGAAAATAATCAGAACCTTTCTAGAACTGTTCTGAATTCAGCAGAGAGAAAAAGGATTGGTTGCAATGTGTCACTGCACTTAGAGAACTATGAGGTGAGTGCTTTTCACTCACCTCATAGTTCTAGCCGACCTGTGACAATGAGACTGTCACAGGTCGGCTCAGTAGATCGGGAGGTGAGCGAACACATACCGGGTTCGCTCGCCTCTCGATCCTGTCACGGCTCTCTGCTGTGACAGGGGGAGGGGCTGGATTCCCCTCTCCCCGCTCCGATCTGCCAGCGCTGACTGGCGGAACGGACGGGGGAGGGTACAGCTGGCTCTGCCTCTAGATAGGCAGAGCCAGCTGTCACTCACGCAGCTGGGCGGATCCCGTCATGTAAGTCGTGATCCGCTCCAGCTGCGGCGTCTCAGTATACCGCGAGCTGTAGCTCGCGGTATAGTGAGCTTAGGGTAACGGGAGGACGCTAGTTTGTGTCCTCCCGTTACCCTAAGGAGAACTATGGGGAAAAACACTGACCCCCATAGTTCTCCTTTAATAAGATGAAATCCTTCATCAATAAGGTAGAAGGAGTATATAGAAGTGCCTTTGCCAGTTAACTAGGCATCACTATGTACTCACCTTGCCCTCCTCATACACCCAGCACAGCCCATGTAATTACAGATGTGTATTAACTTCTAGTGTACTCACCTTCCCCTCCTCATACACCCAGTACAGCCCACATAGTTAGACCTGTGTATTAGCTGCTAGGGTACTCACCTTACCCTCCTCATACACCCAGTACAGCCCATGTAGTTGCAGCTGTGTATTTAACTGCTAGTGCACTCACCTTTCCCTCTTCATACACCCAGTACAGCCCATGTAGTTGCAGCTGTGTATTAACTGCTGTGCACTCACCTTGCCCTCCTCATACATCCAGTACAGCCCATGTAGCTACAGCTGTGTATTAGCCGCTAGTCTGCTCACCTTGCCCTCCTCATACATCCAGTACAGCTCTTGTAGTTGCAGCTGTGTATTAGCTGCTAGCATATTCTCCTTGACCTCCCCATACACTCAGCACAGCCCATGTAGCTACAGCTGTGTATAAGCTGCTAGTGTACTCACTTTGCCCTGCTCATATACCATTACTGCCCATGTAGTTACCATATGTATTAGCTGCTAGTGGATTCACTTTGCTCTACTTATACACCCAGCACTGCCCATGTGATTACCGTGTGTATTAGCTGCTAGTGTACTTACCTTGCCCTCCTCATACACCCGGTACAGCCCATGTAGTTACAGCTGTGCACTGCCTGTATATACTTTTTGTCCTGATCCTAGAGTATCTTTAAAGAGAAGCAGTTGGTATCATATAAAAGGAAGCAGCACAGGCCTCGTTCCCATCTCTTATCAGTACTTTGTGCTGTACCGGAGTTCCGTTACCAGAGCCTGAACTCTACAGATAAACTGCAGGAGAGACCACTTGCTGCCTTGCGGCAGATCAGAGAAGTAACTATCCACACAATCTGTAATAATGTAAGGGACCTGAATTTCTGCATTGAAAACATGACATTTATTATATAAAATGTTAATTTTGTATGTATTTATTGTAGATTATTATCCGGTGTCCTTCCTGAGGAAGTGGACCATAGTCTTTATGAAATGATAGCTCATGCGCTTAGCCCAGGGGTGGACAAATTAATATGGAATTCAGGAGCCAGTCCGTTCATTTTGAAGAGCCAGAAGGATTTTTTTAAGAGCCGGCTCAATTAACAACGGGAGAATACCTCAGATGTAAGGCGCTACCTGTATTTTTTAAGGAGCCTTGGCTACCTGGCTCTTGGGATTTGTCCAGCCCTGCCATAGCCAATTGTACACACATACTGGAACCAATTAACCTACCACCATGTCTTGTATCTGGAGGAAACCCATGCAAGCACAGTGCGAACACCCAAACTCCATGCAGATAAGATCCTGGCCATGATTCAAACCAAGGACCCCAGTGCCGCAAGACATAAGTGCTAAAAATACAATAATATATGCATATGACTGTGGTAGGAACTAGACAGGAAGATATTACACAACGAGAACAAATAAGAAGGGGTCAATGTCCCCTAAAATCTGCTTCTCACTTCTCAAATTTGTAGGGCTGGTACTGATTAAAATTTTGGTTTTCGATTAATCAAATTTTTTTTAAATCGAGTAATTTCGATTAATTATAAACGCACATACAGATTCAACCACTTTTAGCTGAAAAGTAGTTGGATCTGTATGTTATTAATCTCACGTGCCCCACTCAATATGCCCGCCGCTTGAGTGGGGCACGTGAGATTAATAACGTGCTGGATTACTGTGATCCTAGCTCATTTTATTACTTCATTGCTGTGGTGTATGTGTATAGACCAATGCCTTGGCTGGCGCTCGTGCAGAACAAGTTTCTTGGGCAAACCTCTTAGTTGTAACGAAACGGGAAGTCAGACGGTCGCAGAACTCGACAAGTTCGAACTTTCGATCGGTCACTTGCCCAAGTGGCTCCGTCGGCTAAAGAAGGTAAGGGGGGAGGAGTCCGGTGACGTCGATGTCCGTGACGTCACCGGATCTCCGACGGGACTCCTGGAAGACCCGGAAGCCGACGGAGAGGTGAGTGTTTTCATTACTGATCACAATAATTTTAATTGATCAAAAATTAACGATTAAGCGAGTAATTAATCGTTAATTTCCGCAGCCCTACAAATTTTATATGAATAAAAAAGTACATACCGGAATGAAGGGGGTACAAAATCGAGGGGCAGAGTCAACGGGAGAGGCTGGCCGGCTTTTGCCATGTCAGTTAAATGCATTGCCAGCACAAACTCATCTGCTTTCAGCTTCCCATCACGATCGATATCGGCAAGAGACCTGGCAGAAGAGAAAAGAGCAATTTTATTCCATTGCATAACATTATAAAGTTGCAGTATTAACATAAATCTGAGCCTTCCCTGTGCAAAGTATAACTGTGGCACGCCCCAAGGTGCGTATAGACGCCTTCCTTTTGCTCCGCCACTATGTTCAGCCATTAGGGACTGAAGAGAAGAATCCCTTGGAGCTTACACAGCGCTAAGAATTCTCTCCCCGCCTTTATAGGACAGCAATGGGTGCATGAGCGATCACCAAGTACCAGTGCCAAATGGGAGAAGGGGGAGCAAGTCACATGCTCCCAATACTCCGAAGGACTAGGTATTTCCCTTCACTCCTAGTGGATGAATGGCGTGGTGATGGGGGAAGGGGGGTGCCAAGGTCAGATAAGTATATGTGCAGATGGGGAGGGTGGCAGGTAAGTGAACCTGTTGCTTGCTCTGCATGCGCTGTCATTTCAATCCAGTGGGTTCAGCACCTTCTGAATAAATAACCCAAAATAAGCTTACAGATCACGTTTTCTGGATCAGTAATTCAGAAATGGCTGAGGCCATAGGTAGCCAGGCAACTAGCATTTAAAGGTTGTCAGCAATGCCAACCATTGTATTTCTCTCACTTCAGATTTCTTTAAAAGGTACAGCCTAGTGTGTTTTCAGTGAACACATATCTTACTCAATTTTATAGACTTTCCCATTTTACAAGCTTGCTCTTCCATATTTTTCCTTATATTGCTTTAAATGCAGAAATCCCTAGAATAGACACTAGAGGGAACCCTCAGAGCATCAATGCAGTTACTCTCACAACAACAGAAGTCCTTCAGCCCTGGCCTTTCTAGAGCTACAATGGCTCATGGCGATGGGTGTTGTTTTCCTGCGTTTGCCATGCAATTGGAATGCATGTCTATCATAGGTCAGCAGAATCTCATTGACTTAGAGCAGTACACATGACAGTTCAGAGGGTGCGTTGATCTGGCTTGCTTTGTGCTGCATTTTTTAGATCACATCATCTCCTATTTAAACTGCAGACAAAAGCAGGCCAAAGGCATTCTTTTGAACAGCAGACGCAGCGTCTGTAAAGAACTACCATCAACATGAGCCATTTATGTCACTTGAGCAGCCATGCCGAGGCAAAAGAGATGAGCTGCCTGCCTACCAGCATGCAGAAATCTAAACCATGCAAAGATATATCCTGCAGGACGTGGAACATTTTTATATTAAATATCATTATGTTGAAGAGCGGATCATATAAATGTGCAGGTTGCAGAAAGTTCCTCCATATGTTGAGAAACGTTAGCTTTCCTGTTCTCTCCATTCTCTTCTGATTAGCTGGCCGTGTTTTGTCGCTGAGCGTCTCCTCTCTGCCCAGATAAAAGTTCTGCTATTTGTACATGGCTCTGCAGAAAACAGCGGAGGATTTCCCTAAACACGGCCTGCCTTCCTTCCTTTGTTTCTAATCATGTCTTGCAGGGTATGTGACTTTGCCTGCTCACATCCGGTCTCATGACTGGGGCTTCCCTTCTATTGCTGATACAAACAGAAGACGTTCTCCGAGGTGCAGAAATATTTTGGAGGAGGTTGTTGGACCGAGACCACCGGTGTGGAGAGCAGTATGCCACCGATATTCTCTATGATCGGTTCAGTCTACTACAATAAGCCAAGGAAGCTCTATAGCAGGGGTAGGCAACTTTGCCACTCCACCAGTGGTGACACTACAAGTCCCATAATGCCTCTGCGAGTCATGCCTGTGGTTGTCAGAGTCTTGCAATGCCTCTTGGGCCTTGTAGTTCCACAACAGCTGGAGTTTCCTACCCCTGTTCTCATCATTTTTCTTCACATGCATTCAAAGTGACACTTTCCTTTATCTATGCAGAGCAAACAGATTAATTCTACTCTCCCTCCTTCCCAGCAGCACATGCTCCCCATTCCTTCACACCCCCACAGCTCAATTCAGTTTCTGGGACAATTACTCAAAACTTGCGGGACACTGCTAATCATGTGACTCGCTCCCATCTGCCTGGTGCCTGGTGATTGGCCCAGCCCTGTCACATGAGGTAGGGAGCGAGCCTATTTATGTTGCAGCATTTCATGCTGGTGTGTTGGTGACATATCTCATCTAGATAATTGCGGTGATCACATGATTGCAAAGCCCATCAGGACAAAGTGCTGTACACTATTGCTGCTGAGCCCTACTACAGGTGCGAACATCTATTCTATA